GAGGAGAGACCGACCGGTCCTTGGAGAAGGACATCATGCTTGGGAGGGTGGAGGGACGGCGCAGGAGGGGAAGGCCCTCTATGAGGTGGACTGATTCAGTGACTGGGATAATTGGGATGGGAGTGTCAGAGATAGCGCTATTGGCACAGGACAGAGTTTAGGGCTGTTGTATGTATAGGGTTGCTATGAGTCGCAAGTGACTTGACAGCACATAACAATAACAACAACAACAGCCTTATTTGGTCTTACAAGGACTCTAGGAATCCTTTCCTAAATACACACTTTCAGAGATTCTGAATCTAACAAGAATGTCTAAATTAAGCAAACTCGGTCAAGAATATTGAGTGTATAATTTAAGGAGTTAGGGTAGTCTTAGCACCCAATTTAGTATCCAGCTTGGCTCTCAATGTCTGTGTCAGGGTTGGTGAGACTTACTGATAGGGGAATTCTCAGGCTCCCCTGAATTTCATCTTTTACTTTTATTAATTCCTGTCAGTTTCTTCCACCTCGACGACACACATGACACAAGCACAGTTCTCACTCTGATTGGGTCTCAGATTTCTGAGGAAGACAATGTAGTTCCTGGTTATGGACTGGAAACAGAAGTAACCGGGTCATGGCGACCAGGATCCTCCTGCTGCTTTCAGGGGTCCTGGTCCTGACCCAGACCCATGCAGGTGAGAGCAGGTTCGGGAAGGAAATCCTTGGGAAAGCACTGTACCTGCTGCCCCGCCCAGCCCCGGGACTCAGAGTTCTGTAGTGAGGAGGCAGGGTGGTCTCAGCTCCTTCCCGCCTGCAGGCTCCCACTCCCTGAGGTATTTCCTCACTGTCGTCTCCCGGCCCAGCGGCGGAGAGCCCCGTTTCATCGCGGTGGGCTACGTGGATGACACACAGTTCACGAGGTTTGACAGCGACGCTGTGAATGCGAGGGCGGAGCCGCAGGCTCCCTGGATGGAGCAGGAGTTTTGGGATGGACAGACCCGGATCGCCAAGGTCCGTGCCCAGATCTACCGAGAGTACCTGCGGACCCTTCGAGGCTATTACAACCAGAGTGAAGCTGGTGAGTGACTCCCTGGCCAGAGCTTCACCAAGAGGCCTAGGGGCACCCCTAGCCCTTCCATCCTCCCTTAAGTCTTTGTTCAACTTTCGATTTCGGTTTACGGGACCAAAAAAATTCTGACCAATAACGGGATAGGCGGGGGCGGGGCCTGCCATGGGACTGGACTGACAGCAGGAGCGAGGCCGATCCCAAAGTCAAATATGACATAGCACATTTGTTAAGGGAAAATAATTGTTAAAATAGTGGCTATCCACTTAAAAGTTTGTTTCAGGTAGATATAACTATAAAAAGTAAAATGCTTAAAAAAAAAGTGGACCGCCCACAGGGGAGGACCTACCGTGGGGGCGGAACTACAGAGAGGCGGGTTCAATTGCAGAGGAGGGCGGGGCTGACTGGGGGCGTGGTCAGGGTCTCATGTCTTTCAGGGCATGTATGGCTGTGACATTGGTCCAGATGGGCGACTCCTCCGTGGTTATCGTCAACATGCCTACGATGGCACCGATTACATCTCCCTGAATGAAGACTTGCACACTTGGACAGCAGCAAACTTGGCGGCTCAGATCACTAAGCACAAATGGGAGAAGGACGGAGAGGCCGAACGTCATAGGGCCTATGTGGTGGGCAGATTTCGTGAATGGCTCCACAGACACTTGGAGAATGGGAAGGAGATACTGCAGCGCACAGGTACAAAGAAACGTCTGGGTACCTAGTAAACCTCGGTTTTTAGCTGGGACCGTGTGTGTCCACTGACCTCTCAAAAGGAGGTGAAGAGAAAGGAGAAATGAGATAGACCTCAGAGTTATCTCCTTATATATGTGTAGATAGTAAGGAATCCTCATTTCTTTGATACAGTTATGGGATTTATTCTCTGGGAATAGTAGAGAAGATTATTGATTCTTGATTGATCAGCACTTTCCTTTTATTTCAGAATGATCATTGGAAACCTCTAAAAACTTTTTGTCCCAAGCAAGCATTATTCCCTCCCTCACATCCAAAAAGGATGAAGGTTTGATTTCCAGGATCAAAGCTTCCAGCTTTTGACCAAGTCAGAACTAAAAATATCTGTTCAGTCCTTAAGACACATGAACATTAAGACACTTTGTGCTGCCTAGCCATAATTCTCTAAATTACTATGGCTAGGAGATTGTTCTTGCTTCCTGGACCAAGATGGTATCTGAGTTTTTCACTTCCTTTCCTTGGCTTCAATTGCTGTTGATTCTCAAAATGATCACAAGAACATTGGTTAAGTGGCTCAAGGGAGTGAATGCAGAGTTTCTGAATTTTCTAACTCATTCTTTCAGATCCTCCAAAGACATACGTGACTCATCATCACATCTCTGAGCATGAGATTATGCTGAAGTGCTGGGCCTTGGGATTCTACCCAGCTGAAATCATGCTGACCTGGCAGAGGGATGGGGAGGAGCAGACCCAGGATACAGAGCTTGTGGAGACCAGGCCTGCAGGAGATGGGACCTTCCAGAAGTGGGCAGCTGTGGTGGTGCATCCTGGAGAGGAGCAGAGATACACTTGTCTTGTGCAGCATGAGGGGCTGTCTAAACCCCTCACCCTGAGATGGGGTAAAGAGGGAGATGAAGACAAGGCCTTTTGTCAGGAAAAGTAGAACCCCTTCTGGAGACTAAGGAGTCAAGTCTCACCTCCTTCTGTTTTCAGAACTGCCTACAATCTCCATTATGGGAATTGTTGCTCTCCTTGGAACTGTGGTTGTGATCGTTGGAGCTTTGGTGACTATAGCTAAGATTTGGAAGAAGATTTTGAAGAAGAAAAGTTCAGGTAAGGATGGAGTAGGGTCTAAATTTCTTATCCCATAGGGAAATTTAAAAACTGGAATAGGAACATTGCTTTCTCTTGCCTTGTTACGGAAGATAGCATTTATACATATACTCAGTCAGTCTTACAAGATCATAGTGGGTTAAGTTCCTGTACATTTCCTCCTCCCCACCCCCACCCCGCCATTTCCTTATCCTGCCCTGGGCCTGCAGTTATAGTTCTGGAAGCTTCCTTGGGGTTCAGGTTTAGCTACTTCTTCTGGATCTCATAATTCTGCCTACTCTCTAATCTCACAGATTACTTTCTTTTCACAGGTACAGAAAGAGGGAGCTACATTCAAGCTACAGGTAAGTATGGAATAAGACTTATCCTGAGTCCTCTCTAGGGAAAAATTACCTCACTAGAGTAGTAAAGTAGAAAAGCATTTTTACTTGACATATTGAGTTTGGAGAAAAAGAGGGGAAATAAGAGAGCTTTTGATTAGAGAACAATGTCTGAGTGGAAAAGAACACTCTAAACTTAATAGAATATATGTAAAAAGAGCAAAGACCACCATGAGAAAAGCAGTATCTGACCTTTACCAATTTCACAAAGGGGAACTATCCCTGTCAACAGCATCAATAGCACAAACCCAAGTTCCGTAAGGTCAGACTTGTCCACCAAGCTCCTGTACCTGTTTCTACTCACCTCAACACCAATCTTACTGCTTTGCTAGGTTTAAAATCTGATGTGATAGCTCATAGACCATACAGAACCATATCAGGGATTAAAAAGATTGTAATCCAGATAACTAACAGAATATAGTCAAGATAGCTCCTGAAATGTGCATGCAGGAACCTCAACCTCCAGTCCTGTAGCTTGGTGTTTCCAAGTTCTCAGTCCTCCAGTATTGGCTTCAGTTGTCCATCAGAGTTCTCATTCCTGCCAAAATTGACTCTCCTCCATGTTAAGTCTCCAGTCCAGCTATTTGGTGTTGCTACTGTAGTTGTAAAAGCAGGAATACATCCTACATTGCCTTGCTTTCTCTACAATGACACCAAAGACCTATCTCTGTGGCTAGAGCAGTTTGATTTGTTGGTGAGACTAGCCAATTTCCTTGTAGATTGTTTAGACTAACCAATCTCCTTGCAGAATGGTAGATAGCCAATCCCCTTGTCAATAGACTAACACATCCCTTTTGCATATTCCCTCCCATCTACATAGCAAAGTCAAATAATGACTAGAAAAGTCATATTGAAAGATCCTCTCCATAATATAAAATAAAAAGAAAATGCTATAAATTATATTGATTGTTTAGACAATAAAAGATTTGGTAAAATCTTCTTTGGTATAAGTGACAAACAAAAAAAAATCTATTGATTCATGATTTTATTAGTGATTGTCAAGGAAATTTCTCATTTGGTTGAACAAAAGGTGGAAACTTCAGGATAATCATTGTTAATAAAAGGTTCTCATAGTGACAATATTCAAGGAAGCTTTCCTTTCATCTAACAAAAAGGTGATGGCTTTAGAAAGGCAAGTGGAATTGCCTTTTTGTTAATTACAATGACCCTTTTGTTAATGAATTGGACACAGCTTAATGTCTTTTATAGTCTAGGAAAAATAAAAGAAGATTGTGCTTAGGCAAGTTCTCTAGTTTTGTGTGGATATTAATTATGTTTAGTCTTCCTAAACAAAGGGCCCCTATTTCTCTGAATAATTCTTCTTATGTTGTGGCTGCTTTGATGATTTGAAAGCTCCAAGACCACATAACTAATTCCAAACAGATTCTGAGTCCTAGTAACTCTCCAACTGAAGCTGTAAATCTTTATTGAAAGACACTGTCTTTCTTTCTCCCGTGGAGTAACTATTGGATTTGAACTGCTGAACTTTCAGTTAGCAACACCACTAGTATTCATCCAGAGAAGGATTTAAAATGGAATCTGAATTTACATCTAGGCTCAAAATGCTGTCAAACCTTGACTACTTGCTGCAGCTCTCTATAAATAAAATGCTCTTGTGCTTTAGGCTCTAACACAGACTCTTGGGAGAGTGTAGACAGGATAACTTGGGGTCACTCCATTGTTCACAATCTCTGTTCTTCTTGTTTCATCTACTATAATATCTGACCAGATCCTGTTTATGTTTTTCTGCAGATGGTGGCAGTCCCCAACATTCTGATGTGTTTCTCACACCCTTGTCAGGTTAGACCCTAAATATACATTTAAAGGTGTTGGGGTTGGTGATTTGATATAAAGGGAGGTGTTGGGGTAAGAGAGATCTGTCTATATCGTGTGGAGTCTATAGATTTGGAAATTTTAAGTGTGCGGTGGGATGTTCAGAAAGTCTTTACTTATCAGTGACTGATATAAATTTGTTGTTCATAATTCTTTCTATAGCGTGAGACTTTGGATGGGAGTAAGTGATACAAGATTTGTTGACACTCCACTTTGTAATTAAAAAACTCCTGACTTCACCTTCTGCAACTGGTGTCTGAATTTGTATGTATTCTCATCCTCATAATATGAAGATGGTGGTGATGCTAACCCACCCTTACCACTACAACCCACTTCTGACAATAATCTGCAATCCTTCCCTGATGGACATTTCAGTAGATGGAGGTGGAACATCTCCGTTAAGGATTGAGTTATTACTCAAAAAAATGTTTTAAATCCCAACCCTTAAGCCTGTGTTATTTTAAGGTGACAGTATTGATGTAGGCATGTGTTAATTCCTTTGGAGACATACAAACAACACACCAAGCTACTGCTAAGGAGTTTATTTCCACTTGTCACAATTCTCCTCCAAGGCTGTAAACGTCAAGGGGAAGAGAGTCCTCATCCTTCTCTTGTGGAGCAGATGTTGAGTTTGAACTGCTGACTTTTTGATCAGCAGACCAACACTTATTATGCCACCATGGCACCTCTCCTGAGGTGTAAAACAGGTTAAATGAGTCACCAGAGAGAGGAGCTGGGGGTAATAGACGTCAAGACACGTGGATATTACCAAGCAATCAAGAAGCAGTAGCTGAAAACAAGGATTTTTTTTCTCAGTACTAGTCTATCTGTGCTTCATTGACTATGCAAAGGCTTTTGACTGTGTGGATCACAACAATCTGTGGCTGACTCTGAGAAGAATGAGAATCCCAGAACATTTGATTGTGCTTACATGAAACCTATACTTAGACCAAGAGGCACTCGTCAGAACAGAGCAAGGAGATCCTGCATGGTTCAAAATTGGGAAGGGGTCCACTAGGGATGTATTCTGTCTCCATACCTTTTCAATCTGTATGCGGGACGCTGGGCTGTTCGAGGAGGAATGTGACATCAGGATTGGTGAAGACTCATCAACAACCTACATTATGCAGATGACACAACCCTGCTTGCTGAAACTGAGGAGGACCTGAAATGCTTGCTGCAGAAGGTCTAGAACGGCAGCCTTCAATATGGATTGAAGCTCAACATCAAGAAAACAAATATTCTCACCACTGGGCCAATTGGCAACATCAGTATGGATGGTGAAGAGATTGAGATAGTTAATTGTTTTAGCTTGCTTTGTTCCATGGCCAATACTCTTGGTACCAGTAGTCAGGAAATCAAGAGTCAAACTGCGTTGACAAAGTCAGCTGTCAGGGACCTCTCCAGAGTACCGAAGAGCAACAACATCAGGCTGGAGACTAAGGTGCACCTGATCCAGGCTATAGTCTTAGCAATTGCTTGCTATGCATTGGAGAGCTGGACAGTGACCAGGGTTGACAGAAAGAGAATTGATGCCTTTCAGCTGTGGTGCTGGAGAAGAGTATTGAATATACCACGGACTGCTAGGAGAAGAAACAGGTTTGTCCTGGAGAGGGTGAAGCCGGGATGCTCCTTGGAGTCAAGGATTCTGAAGCTTCATCTGCCATACTTTGGGCATGTTGCAAGGAGGGACTGGTCCTTGGAGAGGGACAACGTGTTTGGAAGAGTGGAGGGAGAGTTCAGGAGAGGAAGACCCTCAATGAGATCAATCAATTCAGTTATTGGGGTATTGGGAGTAGGTGTGTCAGAAACAATGAAGCTGTTACAGTATAGAGCAGGGTTTAGGGCTCTAGTACATAGGGTCACTATGAGTTGCAAGAGACTTGACAGCACATAACAACAACAACTAGCTTCCTAAATTCTGACAAACTATTTTCTGTTTGTTAAAGCAATTTATTTACCTGTGATATTTCTATTAGCACCAGATAACGAAGACAATAAGCATATTTTTTCTACAGATGAAAGAAATAAGATACTTTCTACTACTGTATGATGGTATAGTAAACATGTAAATTAAATAGAAATAAACAAAACTTCCTAGTTCAGTGTCCATGTCATTACCAGGATTTTTTCTCATTTGTATAGGATTCTGGATTCTTTCATGAGTAAATCAATACCTTATAAAGTGTCACTCACCACTTCCTCTTCCACATGGATCAGGCTCAGCACTCTGTTTTCTCTGGGTGACTTAATCACAGTCTCCATATCACATGGATTTCCACTCAATTTCTTAAATAAGATGAGGATTCTCCATCTTCTACTGAGTCCTATCTGTTAGGAACATGTAACAGGAACTCAGAAAAGTAAAATCTCACATGCTTTTGAATTTTTAAATAAAGAGGCATTACTGTTATTTTTAAAAAAACAAACAAGCAAACCTAGGATAGTACATAGACAAAGAACTGCCAGACATTCAAGTTGAATTTAGACGAGATCATGGAACCAGGAATGATTTGCAGATGTTAGATAGACCCTGGCTGTAAGCAAAGCATACCAGAAGAATGTCTATCCATGCTTTATTGACTGTACAAAGGCATTGACTGTGTGGATCATAAAACATTATGCCTAATATTGAGAATGGTAATCTCAGAACACTTCATTTTGCTCATGCAAGACCTATACTGAGACCAAGAACAAACACAGCAAGGGAATACTATATAGTTTGAAATTTGAAAGGTGTGTATCGAGGTTGTATCCGTTTTTCCATATCTATTCAGTCTGTATGATGAGAAAATTATTTGAGAAGGTGGCCTCTATTAAGAAAAATGTGGCATCAGGATTGGAGGAAGACTCATTAATGCTGAAAGTGAGAAAGACTTGAAGCGTTTGTTGCAGAAGATCAAACTCTGCAGTCTTCAATATAGATTGTAGTTCAAACTCAAGAAAACAAATAGTCTCACCACTGAATTGACAGGCATCATTATTATAAGCAGAGAAAAGATTGGAACTGTCAATGACTTCATCTTACTTTGATCCACAATCAATACAATTGGTATCATCAGTCAGGTGATTAGGAGACATATGACATTGGGAAATTTTGCAATCAGATACCTCTCCAAATTATTGAGGAG